CTGCTCAGGCGGGAGAACCCCTAACATTACAGAGAAGCATTCTCCAGTCTCTTTTGAAACCTCCACTGATGCAGCACCCTGAACTTCTGGTGGCAGCCAGTTCCTCTGCTTAATTGTTCTGGCTTTCAGGAAATGTCTCCTAATTTCCATCCATGGCTTCTGGTCCTGCCTTCAGGTCCTTTGGAGAATAGGTTGAACCCCTGCTCCCTTGTGGCAGCCCCTTAAATATTGGAACAAAGCTATCATGTCAGATCCTTTTTCTTTCTACTGAATCCAAAAAAAGAGGAAAGAACAATCTTTGTTCATATACTATATACTATAAGATTCTACATTTAGGCAAGAAAAACCAAATGCACAGGTACAGTATAGGGGGTACCTTGCTCAATAGTAGTAACTGTGAGAGTCCTAGTGGACAATCACTTAAATATGAGCCAGCAGTGTGCTGCAGCTGCCAAAAAAGCCAACACAGTGCTAGGCTGCATTAACAGAGGGATAGAATCAAGATCACATGAAGTGTTAATACCACTTTACAATGCCTTGGTAAAGCCACACTTGGAATACTGCATCTAGTTTTGGTCACCATGATGTAAAAAAGATGTTGAGACTCTAGAAAGAGTACAGAGAAGAGCAACAAAGATGATTAGGGGATTGGAGGCTAAAACATATGAGGAACGGTTGATGGAATTGGGAATGTCTAGTTTAATGAAGAGAAGGACGAGGGGGGACATGATAGCAGTGTTCCAATATCTCAGAGGCTGCCCCAAAGAAGAGGGAGTCAAGCTATTCTCCAAAGTGCCTGAGGGCAAGACAAGAAGCAAGGGATGGAAACTAATCAAGGAGAGAAGCAACCTAGAACTAAGGAGAAACTTCCTGACAGTTAGAACAATTAACCAGTGGAACAACCTGCCTTCAGAAGCGGTAAATGCTCCAACACTGGAAGTTTTTAAGAAGAGACTGTACGGCCATTTGTCTGAAATGGTATAGGGTTTTCTGCCTGAGCAGGGGGTTGGACTAGATTACCTCCAAGCTCCCTTCCAACTTTATTATTATTATTATTACTACTACTACTACTACTACTACTACTACTACTACTACTACTACTACTACTACTACTACTACTAATGTTTAGTTTCCTTTTTCCTGAAAAGCTGGGCAGAATCTCTTCAAACAATATCTTCCTTGTTTTCCCTCAATATCTTCCTTGTTTTCCCTGAAGAGGTTGTGATGTAGAAGCACCTTGTTGATTAATGTTTTACAAAGGACAAGTTTTATAGAGATTGTGAGCTTGGTCTTGTTATCTGATATCAGAACAAGTTGTAAATATTTTTTGAAATGCTGACCCCAGGAAGCCCTTCCAAGGCAAAGATTTTGTGATTCTCTATCAATCTCAAAAGGAAATATATTCTCTGCTTCTCTTCTCTTCCACCAACAGGAAAGCAGCTGTGACCAAAGATTTACCTGCAAACCAACTATCCACAGATAATAGAAAACTTAGAAACAAAGTGTTTTACGGCACTCTCTGAGCAGTTTACGAATGTCAGCATCTTGACCCCAACAATTTTGTGATTTTCTATGTTTCTCGAAAGGAAATCCTGTTCTCATCTTCTTTCTTGTTCCAACAGCAGGAAAGCAGCTGCCAATCGGTTACGGAGAAATCAAACCTGTCAGCAGTGAGGGGTCATCCCTGCCGTTGATTCAGAGGGGGAACAACTGACCCAGAGAATTCTTAGCTGCAATTTTAATGGTGAGTAAATGGCTGCGGCTGTTCTAAGGTAAAGCATCCTCTGAAAATAAGACCTGGTGCCTCTTTTGGAGGCAAGAAAACCTATAAGACCGGGTCTTATTTCTGGGGAAACATGGGGGGATATGTCCACTTCACTGTTCCACTATTTTAGCCACTTTAGTCACTTTGTCAAAGAGAGCACTAAGTTTTGTCTAGCATGATCTGTTTTTGACAAACCTATGTTGGTTTCTAGCAATAGCTTTGTTGGTTTCTAAGTTTTCACGGATTCCTTGCTTGATTGTCTTTTCCAGGATCTTCCCAGGTATTGATGTCAGTCTGACTGGTCTATAATTTCCTGGGTCCATTTTTTCCCCTTGTAGTATTTTATAAAATGTATGTGTCACGAGGAGGCTGGGATCAAGAAGTCATGATGGGATGGAGCTCAATGGTGCAAAAATCGGAAAAAGCGAGAAAAAGGGAATCGGGAATGGGTTGATTACACTAACCCGAACTCTCTTCCCTCCTCTCTTGCTAAAGTGATGCCTTCATTTTGGGGATTCCCTATAGGTACTCCTTGTATTATGACTACAATTCAGACTGGAATCTCAGTCTTTGAGAGAAGCGGCCATTAAGTGAGATGTCACATGACCGCTTTACTCAACCATTGCAATCCTGCACTTGTGGTTGTTAAGCTACTTCACAAGCAGACAAAGTCCCAGTTAAGGAATGTGGGGTTTCCTGAAGTGGGCAGTGGAGGCCTTGTGAGTCCTGGCACAGGAAATGTGGAAGTTGAGGGGGCCCTGAAGAAGGTTAGAGATGCTTTGAGACACGTTGCTTAGCAACAGTATGGAACATGCGCATTGGAAAATGTCGCAAGGCTGCAAAGGCCTCCACTTTGGAGATTAAGGCCTCATTTCTCAATGGCAGCAGAGACAGTGGGCTGAAGTCCAGTCCTGGGGTCAGTGGCAGATGGCTGAAATAGCTCAGTGCGCCAGGCCTCCACTTAAGACGCAGTCCCAGCATTGTTGTCAATCAGGGTTGCTTTTCATGGCTGTGGTGGTATATAGCTCAGGCTTCCAGGGGTGGCTGCAGCTTTATATCCCACTTCAGGACCCCCCCCCCAACTCATGGGTGGCCTATGCCTGGTATCCAGGACCTCCCCCACCACCATTGCCTGGTCCTCCCCCCACTCAAGAACCCTCAAGATCACTTAATGATTGCAACCAGCAGTGTGGGATTATGGTTGTAGATCCAAGGGATCATGTGACTCCTCACCTAACCGCTGCTTCACTGAACAACTGAAATTCCAGTCCCGACTGTGGTCATAAGTGGAGGACATCTCTCCTACAGATGTAGGGCCTCCATCACTGTCTCGGGTGTACTGGGGACCCTACCCTGGGCAGAGGGTGGGACTGGAAGACCTTCAAGGTCCCTTCCAAGGCTGAGATTTTGTGATTCTCTACCATTCTCAAAAGGAAATATTATTCTCGATTTCTTTTTTATTCTAACAGCAGATAAAAGATTGTAACCAAAGATTTATCTGCAATTCAACACATAATAGAAAATCAACACAAGGCAGCAGTCAACAGAAAGCATGGAGCCTGGGAAACTCTTGGATCCCCCGTCAGACACAATCAGCACTCCGGAAAACCACAAAAAACCCCATGAATGCTCAGAGTGTGGGAAATCCTTTTCTCGCAGATCAGTGCTTTTTACTCACAAGAAGATCCATGTGGGAAGTGGATCCAGTCAAGGTTTGGAGGGTGAGAAATCCTCTGGAACAGACACCAAAAGTCTCAGAAACCCCCCCAGAGTAAAACCCTATAGATGTATAAAATGTGACTTATGCTTTGGTCGAAAGTCAAGTCTTCTTACACATCAGAAAATCCACACAGGAGAGAAACCCTATCAGTGTCTTGAATGTGGGAAATTTTTTTGTCAGAAATCCACCCTCAGAAACCACGAGAGAATTCACACAGGGGAGAAGCCTTACAAATGTTGGGAATGTGGAAAGAGCTTTTCTCAGAACGCAAGTCTTTGGTCCCATGAGAAGGTTCATGCAGGAATAAAATCGTACAAATGCTTTGAGTGTGGGAAATGTTTCACCCGGAGTTCACTTCTTTGGAGTCATGAGAAAACACACAGAGGGGAGAAAAAGGAAAAGTGCCTGGAATGCGGTAAATGTTTTTCCCAGAAATCACACCTGTTGCGACATCAGAGACTTCACACCGGAGACAGACCTTATGAATGCCCAGACTGTGAGAAACGATTTATATATTCTTCTGAACTTCGGAGACACGAGGAGAGGCATAAAGGAGAGTTACGCTATAAATGTGGGG